GCTTTAAAACTTTTTGTCATTTCATGGGATTAATCTGAACAAACTAAGTCTAAACCTCAGTTAAACCCTCAGGTGTATTGGAAGTTATGTTTCCATTATCTTATTATGAATGCTGAGGTTAGGAATCCCCTTAACAATGTAAAACCATACTGTTTTGCCAAATTTTTACAGAAAAATAGCTCTGTGTGTTCTACCAATGTCAAAACGTTTGAAGGTAGAGTGCCTAATTTAATCACAAAAGGTAAACCTAAACCTACAAGTGAAGAATGATATAACATTCTTGAAGATTTGTCATAGGAAGCCTTGGCAGAATGTAGGGGGAGACATCGTTTCTTTTTGTTGGGTGGGAGTCCAGATTATATTTAAATGGCATTATACTGAAATTTGTTATAAAATTAGCCAGCTCTTTCCCTTCAGTTTGACTGTATTGATACAACTTTTAAAGTGATAACTTTGTTCGCGTTATAAGCATTGCCTAAACTACACTCCTCGTGTCAGTGAGTGCTGTGTCCTATACTAACTTATTCAATCCTCACATCGAGTATATGAGGTAAAGGATGTCATCCTCACTTTGCAATTGAAGAAACTGAGGCAGCACTTTTGGAAGGAAAAGCCATTTGTAATTATCTACTTTAAGTTTCTACTGCTAAAATATTTTACTAGTTTTGAGCCAGATGTAGTGGCTCATTCCTGTAATCCCAGCACTTTGGGAGATGAAGGTGGAAGTATCATTTGAACACAGGAGTTCTAGACTAGCCTAGGAAACATAGCAAGGCCTACATCTCAACAAAAAATAAAGTAATTAGCAAGGTGTGGTAGTGTGCACCTGCAGTCTCAGGTACTTGGGAGACTGAGGCAGGAGGATTGCTTGAGCCCAGCAGTGAGCTATGATCATGCCACTGAACTCCAGCCTGGGCAACAGAGCAAAATCCCTCAAGAAAAAATGTTTATGATTTTTACTATAATTTTATTATAAAGTTACTGATTGTTAGAAATACTAGGGTATAAAAATATTTTGCATTCAAGAAACTGAAATATTTAATGTGGTCTAGAATGCATACATATATGAGAATGGTAAAAGAGACTGGAGAAATTCAAATGATAAATATCTTATTTTATTCAGCATGCCTGGGCATTTGTTCTTTTATCTATAGTGCTGTGGCATCATTAAAAAATTTTAAGCTTGTCATTGACATGATTAGATTATATTTTAAGTCTAATGGAAAGTATTGGGCTGGAACATGACTTTAAGCTCCAGTTCCTTCACTAAATAAGCAAAGAGGTTTTGCTTGTTTGTTTTTAACTGTTTTATATTTTTAAATAAATTGTGATACATATGAAATATATACACACACACTCACACATATCGTTAAGTTATAAAGCATAATGATATAATGAATAATTAAGAAGGCAAGCACCAGTATTTCTAACTTCCATTTACCCATGTTCTCCCTTGTGCCATTCCCCTTCTTCCCCTGACAGTTATTTTCCTGAATTATGCTTTTTTAGATTATAGTGTTATCTTTTTTAGATATAGTGTTTTCATAAACTATATATAATTTAGTTTTGCTTTATTTTAACCTGTGTGGTGTTTTCTTAGGGTTTGCTTTCTAAAGTCACATTTTGTTTCTAGGGTTTATCTATATTGTCATATCACTGTAGCTGTAGTTTATTCGATTTCACTGCCGAATAATATCTGTGAATATACTACAGTTTATCTGGTTTCCTGCTAATGAAACATTTCGGTTATTTCTAGTTATTGCTATTACAAATAATGCTACTACACACATTCTTGTGCATATACAAGCTCCTCTTGTAGGAGTCACATTGCTGGGTTGTTGAGTATGAGAATATTCACCTTTACAAGATAATGCCAAATTGTTTTTCAAAGTGGACATACAAAGGAATATTTCCATTATTAATGTATAAGCTCTCCATTGATCCATAATCTCTCCTACCTTGGTATTATCAAATGTCTGATTTTTGCCAATCTAGTGTTTTAAAATGGTGTCTCATTGTCATCTTCATTTACTGTTCTCTAATTACTAATTGGATTGAGAATTACAATGTTTGTTTGGCCATATACATGTCCTATTCTGTGAAATATCTATGCCCATTTTTCTAGTATTTTAATTGATTTGTAGAAATTCTTTATATATTCTAGAATATAGATAATGTAAAATATCTTCTTGCAGTTTGTGGTTCATCTTTTTAATTTCTTCGTTTTCTTTTGAGGAAAAAAATTCTTAGTGTGGAATTTATCAATATGTTTGTGTCTTGTTTGAATCCTTCTCTTCTGCAAGATACTATATGGCTAATGATTTGCCTGAGATTTTATTGTATTTTCTGTGTAAGTAATGCCAATTTCATTTCTTTCCAGTTCTTATCCATCCAATTAATTTATTGTTCTTTATTACTATGTTAAGACCTCTAATGCAGTATTTAATTGAAGCCCAATTATTTAATTGTAGAAGTCATCCTTCTCATGTTTCAATCTGATAATCTATATCTTTTAAATAGTAAGTTTAGTTTATTTACAATTGCTGTATCGATGTAATTGGATCTACTTTCTACCATCTTAATTTTTATTTCTATTTGTGCTTTTTTATAATTTTTGTTTCTTTTTTTGATTGAATGAGGTTTTTCTTATTCCATTTTTATTCCTATTTCAGTTATTTTAGAGAATTGCCCATATCACTTAAAAAGTTCAAAGCCAAACAATGTTTAACCTCTCCTTTTTTACATTGTATGGACTTCATATGCTGAAGCTTCATTCAGCCTCCTCCTGGTTCACAATGTTATTGTTAATATCATTATTTTTGTTCTGTCCTTTATTGTCAGTCTACAAATTAGTTACTATTACTGTTTTTGTTTTATACAGGCAACATTTATGTGGATTTGCACAGATGTTTACCATTTTCTTTACTCAGTGTTTTATCAAATACATCCTTTAGGAATTCCTTTAATTTGGTCTCTTGTTGCCATATGTTCAGTTTTTATTTGTCTATTAATGTTTGTCACTTTTTTCTTGATATGTTGTTCTGGTGGGTTCACAATTTTAGGTTGCCAGTCTGTTTTTTGTTTGTTTGTTTGTTTGTTTGTTTGACACTTGGAAGATATTATTCTAGTGTCTTCAATATTCTGTTGTTACCAATGGGAAGTCTTTGGTCATTCTAATTACCTTTTCATTGTATATGATCTGTCCCTTCTCCATGACTTCTTTTAAAATCTTCTCTTTATCTTTGGTGTTTTGCAGTTACATAATATGTAATAGATCTAGGCACTGATTTGTTTGTGTTTATCTTGCTTGAGACACATGATGTTTCATGTATCTGTGGCTTTTTATAGTTTAAAATAATTTCTGGAAAGGTCATTGGCATTATCTCTTTAACCGCTCCCTCTCTTCCATTCTCTTTGTTCTCTCTTCCTCCAACTCCTATCAGTCATTTGATCTCCATATCTCTGAATATTTTTGTGTTTCTTTTATTATTTCTTGTCTGTGCTACATTTTACATTGAGTAAAAGTGGGATGTGACAGTGGGAAATCATTAATGACTTAGAAGTTCCAGTTGGTCATTGGGCCAATTTTGATGCCACCTTCTCTCTTTTATTTCTCACTTTAAAATAAAATTTGCAAAAACAAGAAAATAAATATAGTATGAGTCCAATTACTGGCCTAAGGAGCTAAAAGCATTCTGGGTTTGTATGATGACAGCTGAGTTATAACAGATGAGAGTTCTATTCTGTTATTGCATTAATTATTCCCTCTTTAAATGTACAAGAGCAAGACATTCTACCTGACTCTGTTATTGAGCTCTACAGCATACATGTGACAGAGCTAAAACAAACAAACAAACAAAAGAAACCATAGCTTTAGGATACTCTGTTCATGAATATAGCCCGAAAGTGATAATCAAGAAGTAAACTTTTACCACTATTAAGGAACATTAAGCTGCCTATCTCTCAGTGAATTTCAGAGTGATATTTTAAGTAAGTTTAGGCTGTAATCCCAGCACTTGGGGAGGCTGAGGTGGGCGGATCATGAGGTCAGGAGATCAAGACCATCCTGGCTAACACAGTGAAAACTGATCTCTACTAAAAATACAAAAAATTAGCCCGGCGTGGTGGCGGGCCCCTGTAGTCCTAGCTACTTGGGAGGCTGAGGCAGGAGAATGGCGTGTGAACCCAGGAGGTGAAGCTTTCAGTGAGCCAACATCATGCCACTGCACTCCTTCCTGCCTGCATGACAGAGCAAGACTCCGTCTCAAACAAACAAACAAACAAACAAAAAATTAGTTTAGGCTGAGCACTGTAGCTCATACCTATAATCCCAGCACTTTGAGAGGCCAAGGCAGGAGGATCACTTGAGCCCAGGATTTTGAGACCAGCCTGGGCAACATAGCAAGATACTATCGCTAAAAAAAAAAAATAATAAAAAATCTTAGCTGGATATGGTGGTGTGCACATGTAGTCCCAGCTACTTGGGAGGCTGAGACGGGAGGATCACTGAGTCCAGAGTTTGAGGTAACTGTGAGCTATGATCACGCTGCTGCAGTCTAGCCTGGGTGACAGAGTGAGACTTCATCTCTAAACAAACAAAAAAGTCAGTTTGTCAAGGAAATGAAACCCTTCTGAAAATTAGTGAATGTAGTCCTATCAGAGATTCAGATTTTTGAAGAGGCTGATACATAGAAGATTGGAAGACATGAATACCTTAAATGTTAACTACTTTTAATTCATTGGTCTAAGACTCAGTATAACTGTCATGTGTAAGATTTTATTATTTGTTTTATGTTGCTTCTGTATATACCTTAAGGTGTTCAAGAAAATGTCTTGTTTCAAACTGGGATTAAGGAAGTTAACTGTAGTCTTTAAAAAAAAAAATCCTTAGAATAATTAAGAGAAATTATTATTATTCTACCAAGCCTGTGGTTAAGAAGACATATTTATATATTTTTCTTTCTTTCTTTCTTTTTTTTTTTTTTTTTTTTTTTTGACAGGGTTGTTACAAGTTGAGTTGAAAACAAGAAAAACTTGCTTTTGGCGCCATCAAAAAGGAAAGCCAGATACTTTCCTTTCTACAATTGAAGCCATTTACTACTTTCTGGTAGACTACCATACTGATATATTAAAAGAGAAATACAGAGGGCAATATGACAATCTTTTATTTTTCTATTCTTTTATGTACCAGTTGATAAAGAATGCCAAATGCTCTGGAGATAAGGAAACAGCAAAACTTACACATTAGTTTTTAACAAGCCACTTATGTCTTTTTATTTTGCTAACATTAATAAACTTATATTTGTGCTTTGTTTTTTCTTAAGAAATAATCATATATAATGCCTGTAAGACCATTTGAAAAAATTCCAGTTTTATATATATTACTTCATATTTCTTAAAGGGAAGGAAATTGTATCTAGGGGAATTTTTCAGAGATACTTTTGATAGAAAAACTTAATTCAGAAGTTATTTGCTCAGTGAAACCTCAGTTTCATTACTACATTTTAATATAGTGTGTTATGTCTCTGTGATTAGATATATTCAGTTAGATCTAATTAGCTATTTATTTCAAAATCTTTATATCTTTTCACCTGTACTCATGACCACCTTTAGAAGTAAATGAGGTTACAATCTACTGGCTGAAAACTAGGTCATAAGTGATTTTTCTTGAGGTTAGTAGCAAACATAGGCAGAACTAGAATTAGAGTTCCAGTGTCTAGGGCTGTTTCTTTAAGCCCTAAGGTTGTTAAAAGCAGAGACTCTGGAGCTAGACTACCTGAATCTAAATCTCAGCCTTTCTGCTTATCAGCCATGTCATTTTCTTCCATTTGTACAAAGCAGGTGATACTGAGTAACTACCTTATAGGATTAACTGGGAATTAACTGAGTTAATATCTTAAGTGGCTTTCAGCAGTACCTGAAATATAGTAAGTGTCATATATATATATATATATATATTTACTCTTTTTATTTTATTTGGAATTGCGAACTAAGAATAATTGAAGCCCAGCTGCTAGTGGCCATCTCTGCTGCCAGATGAAAAGAGCCTGATTTAGAATGAAGTCAGCAAACGAAAGCAGAGTACAGAAAGACTGAGTCCTGATGACATCATTTATTCACCTAGACCTAGCTGCTTTTGAATAGAGCCCTACTGTACTGAATAGCTTTTGTCTGCTCTTTTCTATTCTGCTCCCTGCTCTGTGAGGTAGATTCCCTTGCTCTCTTGCTTTTGGTTGGGTTCAACAAATGGGAAGCACCTGTGGGAGACTAGAAGTTGAGAGGAAAATGAAATGATGTTATTTATTTCCCTGGCTCCTTTCCTGCCATGTCATCATCAGTTGACTGTGTTCCTCTACAAAATAGTACCCTATCAGGAATCCTATCCCTTCTGTTCCCAAGCAGTTATCCCAGTTACCTCACTAGGTTTAGTTCCTGCTCCCTCCCTTTACCCCTTTTCACTTAGGGCTGGTAATAGCTTACAGTTATGACTAGCCCCAGGGTAGTTCACTACCACTTGTTGCTTTCCCTAAACCCTGCTAATACATTTGTAATACTGAAGTCGTTTTATTACAGTCTTCTCAAATGTCCCCATTTGAAGTTGCCTTCTATTTCTTTTGGGGACTCTGATAAATTCACTTGTTTGGGTGAAATAATAGCACATTTCCTGAAGTCTATACAGTGGGACACATCATGTATTATGGGGGAAAGAGTTCTTGGTGAAATTAGTTTGCTGTACATTAATTTGTTTCCCTCCCAGGGATTCAGAAGGCAAAACATATTAAAGGTTCTGAAAAGTCCTGAAATAAACATTCTGAACTTTATTTAAGCTGATATATCTTAAACTTACTTGAATATGTAGCACCTATTAACATCCCATGGAAATAGGACATTTGGAATATTGTAATTAAGAGCAATTCTTACTAATATACATGGGGCAACTGAGAATTAAAGAGGTAAGTAAATTGTTGATAGATCATACACCTAGTTAGTAGCAGAGCCTGTTCTAGAATCTGGAACTTCTGATTTGGTTTGGTTCAGAAAGGCCACCATTATATTATGCTATTCATAAAAAGGAATGTGGATTATATAAGGTTTGAACATTATTAGTCTTGTAGTCTTAGCCAAATAAACTAACTGGCTTGCTTATTTTAGCAGTTATTTTACAAGAATGGAATTAAAATAGATTTTTTTTCATGTTTAGAACTTGGCCCTGGGAATAGAGGAAGGCTTGAATTGATTTAAGCAGGGCCAAAGTTGGATTTCTCTAGGCTAAATTTGGACTTCCCTGAGCCAAAATCTATTGCATTTAACTGGCTTTACAAACCAACTAAACATAACAGTTCAGAGGGAAAAGAAAAAAAAGCGAGAGACAGAGAACAATTCTATCACTCATTTGCCTCCATCTCTCAGCTGGCATAAGAAAGATGACCCACGTACTTCATAAGAGGCTAATTTACAGCTAAGGCCAGATAAAATCTTAGGTTCTTTTCAAAAGAAGTTAGTAATACCTGTTAGAACAATGAATTGACTATGCTTGTCTTGTTTTTTTTTTTTTTTTTTTTGTTTTTTTTTTTTTTTTTTTGGTGTGATAGATGTAACAATAGCCCTAATTCTTTATTTTTCCCTGTATTCATGGTCATTTTTCAGGTTCCTTTGAAGTACTCCCCACACTGTGATTCTGGGTCATCTGCATCCAGAGATTTAGTGCATTTTTACTTATACTTGTGCTTCTGCTGTTGACATAAGAATATGCATGGCTGAGTTAGCCTGCTGGAGGATGAGACATCCATGGAGCAGAGCCAGGTTGCCCTGCTCACCCTCACTGAATCCTGTCTAGATTGGCTGATGGCCATCCAAACCCAAGATATGTGGGTGATTCCAGCCAAGTTCAGCAGAGTCATCTGACTGACACCTACCTGATTCCAAATATGTGCGCAAGGAGTCTATTATGCCACCAATGTTTTATAGCTATTTATTGTGGCATTATTGTGGCTGTAGATACCTCGTCTTTGGATGCATTATCAGATCATCATCTTCAAGTACCTTAGAAGATTCTCAGTCTCGTGTTTCTTGTGCTCTTGACTACTTGCTTTGCCTTAGCTACCACCTCACATAGTAACAGATTACCAGCAGGCTTGTATGATTCCTCTGCTTGAGATCAGTTAGCCATATGTTCAGAATTCCTGGCCTATACCAACACTTCTGGACTTTAAAAACCCCATGCCACAGTGACTGTTAAAAGGGCTAAGTGATGCAGTCTGGTGGGTTTGTGAAGTTAACTGTCTGATAAACTTGGATCAATGGACTAGAAAAAGCTGCTGGGTAAATTGCTCTTCTTCTGATGGACTGTATAGAGACACTGCTTTTCATCTTGCCTGTCCAGAAGTGTACTGTGTGGCCCAGCAAGTGTACTTGCTACATGATTGGCAGCGTCTCTTCATGGCTTTTCATGAAACAGCAGCAAGTGCTACACAGTAATTTGTCAATTTGCATTTGCCTCCCATTATTGCTATCCTCACTTACTTTCTTCCTCGCTCTTACCAGCCTGGATTGTACCTTTAATAAAGTAGTGAATATATTTCCTTTAGGGTCTCTTTTCTAGGGAAGTCAGATGTTTTAGTCTGGATTTAGTTAGAAAAGCAGCATCATTACAAGTATTACATGAATAAAGAAGTTTAGTAAATAAAGGTTTACCCACCCCAATGTGAGAATTACTGGGGTAATAAAGGTCTGGAAGGCCGCAACAGGAGAGATTTAGAGAAGCAGTGACTAACTAGGTCAGCCGGAGATTCTCAAAGTACTCATGACTTCATTTGTAGAAACATGTATATCTTAAGCATATCAAGCATCTCATTCTCAAATCTTTCTAGAAGCCTTTTGGTTCATCCTGAAGGTCCCCCTAAATCCCTTCAGAAGTCTTAAAAAGGAGTAAATGGCCACACCTTTTATCAGTTCTTTTCTTTGAGGCCATGTTAATGGCAGTCCCCTTGATTTGGTCGTTGTACTAGGCTGTTTTTAATGATCACATTTTATTTGATGAGAAACCATTTTATTTTCCAATTCTGCATATCCTAGGTTATGTATTTCATTTCAGTTGCCTTAATTTTGAGCTTGTCTGTTTCTTAACATTTCTTATTTTGAAAGAATAAGTTGATTATTATTAAGTATAATAAGGTACTTAAGAGCCTCAGAATATCACCAAATGCCATGAATGCATTAGGTACATTTTTTGTCTTCCATGTTACTGGAAGCATTAATTATAGCAACTTTTTATCTCCAAATACTGTCTCTGTCTCTTGCTTTTTTTTCTTTTGCCTCTAAACTGTTAATGTTTAGTTGGTTTGTAAAGCCAATCGAAAGACCCTAGTGAAAACTTTAGCCAAACACTGACCCTACATTGAAGGCCACCAGCCAAAAATCACCACCCATACATAAGAGCCAAACATCACTAGACACTTGGTGAAATGCTTCAAATAAAAAAGGGGAAAAGGAGGGGAGAAAATCCAAAGGATATAGACAAACAGAGAATAATAGCAACAAAAAAACAACTATCTTCAAAATAAGAGAGAGTATATTGTATTCACAAAACAAGAATAGGAGAGTGTGAATAAGAACAAGCAATAAAAAGATCTCAGAAATTTAAAAAGTGATTGCTGAAATAAAATTTAAATATAAGAGTTGAAGATAAAATATAGCATAAGCATAGAAAATTCTGAATTCCAAATACCTAAGGCCAATCTTAGTTAAAAGTTGTAATTGCAACCATAGGCTACATGTTACATTGTATTTAAAAACCTTAAGGGGAAAGACAATAGAGCTTGTAATAGCTATTACCCTTGGTTGTAAAGGAGAAGGTTGGAGATTATTTGTATACCAACTACATAAGTTTACAAAAAATAATGAGTATTAGGTAGATGGAATCAAAGTGTATTCATACACTGTATATTAAGCTCTATATACACTGCATATCATCATAATGAAATTGAGTTTCTAGCTGGATTGCAGAGATGAGCCAAAGGGCTTCTCCCCAGATCATTATTTATTTATTTTTGAGGCAGAGTCTCGCTGTTGTCTCCCAGGCTGGAGTGCAGTGGTGTGATCTAGGCTCACTACAACCTCCACCTCCCAGGTTCAAGCAATTCTCATGCCTTAGCCCCCCGAGTAGCTGGGATCACAGGCTTGTGCCACCACACCCAGCTAGTTTTTGTGTTTTTAGTAGAGATGGGGTTTCGCCATGTTGGCCAGCCTCGTCTCGAACTCCTGACCTCAAGTGATCCTGCGTTGGCTTCCCAAAATGCTGGGATTAACAGGCCTGAGCCGCCACACCCAACCTGAATTATTTTTAATTATGACATTTTTTGTATTCCCTTGAGGCACTGACAATTATAATCTTATTTTATATGTTAGTTATAGTGAATCATATTTATCTCATTATATATTATAGAATATTTTGTTTGATGGAGAAAATTCACTGACTCGTGCTATAATGTTTATACCAGCACTTAGCTGATTAATTTACTATGACTTCACTCTTTATTCAGCAATTCTGCCACTATTACTAGTGTGAACTAACTAGCTAGTCCAACAACGAGGCCTTATTTTGGCTTTCTTTCGAAAGGTCATTTCTGACCCCAGCTTGAAGTTTATTTTCACTTGAAGAGATCTCTCAGAAAGTCAAAGAAAATAGGAGGAAAAAAAAATTAAGATTTAGGGCCAATCTAAGAGGTCCCTCATTTGAATAATAGGTGTAACAGAGAGAATGGGAAAGGCATGGAAAAAAACATTTGTGATTTCTAAAATTGAGGACATTAAGTCATTAGAGTAAAAAAAAAAGATGTACATTAAGGCTTATCATCAAGGAATTTCAGAACACTATAGATAGAAAATACTAAAAGATTTCAAACAGAAGAAATAGGTTGTACATCGACCAATAATCAGGATATTAAAGGACTTCTTAAAAACAGCATTGGAAACTAGAAGACATGGGGTGATGCCTTTAGAACTTTAAGTGAAAATAATTTTCTATTTGGATTCTATTTTTAGTCATATAATCAATCAAGTATGAATATAGTATAAAGACATACAAGGTCTCAAAAGTATTACCTCCCATATATTCTTGAGCTAAAGATGCTTAGGAGAATACTGAAGAATGTTTTCCAGTAAAATGGAGAAGGAAACCAAAAACCAAAAAAGAGAGCATTAAGCAGAAATCAGCAGGCCAGGTGCGGTGGTTCACACCTGTAATCCCAGCACTTTGGGAGGCCAAGGCAGGTGGATCGCCTGAGGTCAGGAGTATGAGACCAGCCTGGCCAACATGGTGAAACTCTGTCTCTACTAAAAATACAAAAATTAGCTGGGCGTGATGGCACGTGCCTGTAATCCCAGCTACTCAGAAGGCTGAAGCAGGAGAATCGTTTAGAACCTGGGAGACAGAGGTTGCAATGAGCCGAGATGGTGCCATTGCATTCCAGTCCGGGCGACAGAGTGAGACTCAGTCTCAAAAAAAAAAAAAAAAAAAAAGAGTCAGCAGAGGGAAGTTTCAGGGTTTCAGGATTCATTCATTCATCCATTCTAAAAAATTTTGGGTGCATACTATGTGTCAAATTGTTATCTAGGTGATGGCTATAGCATGCCAAGTTAGTAAGTGCTGAGAAGAAAGTAAAGCAGAGTAAGGAACTGATAGTGACTGGTGCAGGAAATAGGGTGCCAATTTAAATGGTGTGGTCAGATGGGAAAGCCTGTGATAAGGTAAAATTTAGCAGAGACCTAAATGGAGAGTGAGCCATGCACATAAGTAAGTGAATAATGTTTTAATTATAGGGAACAGTATGTGTATATATATACACACACACACAAAGGTACTGAGGCAGCAGTATACTTGGCATGTTTGAGGAATAACAAGAACAGCAGTTTGGAACAGTGTGTGGGAGGAAAAAAATGATAGAAGATGAGATCATAGGGAGTAATAGTGGTGTAGAGCCATGGTAAGTAAGATGTTAAGGTTTTACTCTGAGTGATGAGATAGGAAGCCATCAGAGAATTTCAGCAAAGGAGTGACAAGATGTGACTTATATTTTTAAAGGATTATTTGGCTTCTATATGAAAAATAGACTGCAGGAGAGAAAATAGGAAGATCAATTAGAATGCTATTTCAGTAGTCCATTTGAGAGATGATATTTGCCTGGACAAGGGTTGTGATCATGGGCGAGTGGTACAGAATGACAAGATCCTGCATATATTTTGAAGGTAGAGACAGTATTTGCAGATAGGTTAGACATTGTGGTAGATATGAAAATGTGCTGCCTAGATTCCCCATTCTAGAAAGCACTTGCTAATTAGCTGCAGGGAGTGTGGAGAACAGAAGTCCACCAGTATCAGCACTTCATCTGCAACAGCTATAGAAAAAGCTTCACCTGAGGTTACCTTCACCTTGGATGTCAGGGCTGCACTCAATGGAGATGTAAGGCCTTGCTACTTCAGCCTCATTTATTACACTGTCAGGCAAAACCTTCCCCAGAGCTCCCTCTGTTACAGCTTAATTTCTTCTTCTGCCCAATCCTGCTTCCTCCCCTTCCCCTGACTGGTGTCTTACACCCCAAACTCCATCTCAACATTTCTCTTTAGAGGACTCAACCTGTGGTAATTGTTAGCAGGAGTGATCTGAGCTTCCAGTGAGGATCCCATCACATGTGGCACATGGAACAAAAAAAGCCCATGGCTCAAGGTGGTAACTTTTATTAGTGGTAAAATGAGAAGATTTACCCATGGAAGAGAATGTGCCAGCGAGTGCAGTGTATCAGGTATTTGAGACTTATGAAGGAAATAGTACATTTAAGAACAACAGAATTGAATGGCCAAGTGCCACTAATGCTCTATAGAAAGAGGGCTTCTTTGGTTGCATATAAAGCTCATCTAGAATTTAATAGTCCAAGTAGCCAAGCTGGTATTTGTCCTTAAGAATAAATACTGGAAGATCAAGCACAGAAAGTCTAGAATAGAGGCATGCAAATGGACATACTTGTGTCAGATATGTACATGAACTGTAAAGGTCTCTGTATTTCGTGCAGTGCTCACCAGAGAGCATTCAGTACTGAAGAGTCACTAAACAATAAAGCAAGCTAAGCACATTGCCTAGTTGACATCGTCCATCCTGCTTCAGTTATTCGCCACCCAGTACTAGCACAGTGGGTACATGAATGAAGTATCCACTGTGGAAGGGATGAAGACTAACCATAGGTTCAGTAGCTTGAGATTCAACTTACCAAGGCTGCCTTAGCTGCTGCTGCTGTTGAATGTCCAACCTGAGAGCAACAGAGACAATACTGCACCCCTGATATAACACCATTCTTCAAGTTGGTTACATTGGGCACCTTCCATCCTGGAAGGACCAGCATTTCCTTGTCATAGAAATAGACACAATTTCCAGATAGGAGTTTGCTTTTCCTGTTTCCAGAGCCTCAGTAAATATCACCGTTTGAGTTTACTTAGTATTATATTCACCAGCATGGGATCTCACATTATATCATATCAGATCGGGAAACCTATTTTATGGAAAAGCAAGTGCAGGAGTGGACCCAT